GCAGAAACATATTACACAAGAAATACCAGATATGAAGATGGGTATTAGTAAGATACAAACCTATAACCTCTGGGATCATAGTTCACACTACTCCCACTTCAATACTAAAACTCAAAGTATTAACCCAACCAGATCGGTGACTGATAGGATTCGAACCCACAACCTCTGAATTGAGGTAGTGCATAAATATAAAAAGTCGGATGTTATGCCAGAAAGATGAAGTCATTCACTTATCAGATTTACAACACTCCACAAAAGTGATAGTATATTAGTTGGGTGTATTAAAATACATTACAAGTAATAGTGAAAAATACAGTACTCATTTTTTAATATGTTGGTGTAATCTTTTGTAGTAAATCTTCAGTGCCGGTTCGTTAGTCTCATGGTAATAGTTAAATTACATGTTACAGTGATACAGATAAGTCTGTGATGATTACCATTAATAAATCATTTAAGTAAGGTTATCATTAATATAGAACAAGCTTTATCAGGTATTCTGTAGATGCTTTGTTAGTCAATATATCATTAAATCAAATTACACTAGGCAAATTTCATCGAGACTAGCGCTCCAGTGTCACAAATATGAATGAATAGACTTGGTATAATACAGAAAGAGAGGTTATGTTACAGATACAATCTTGGCATGGGAATTCACAGCTGATTAATTTAGCAGGTACATGTTACAAAACCATAAGAAATACCGGTTATGAAACAATTAGATACTAGTAGGGTTTAAGCCCTAGACTAAACCACTAAACTCTCTATACCATACTAAAACTCATTTTGACCAAGAATGAAACAATCAGTGGCTGGTAGGACTCAAACCCTCAGGCTCTGAGATTGAAGGTCCACACTACTACAGCTACAATACAACATCATACCAAAATCAACATATCACCCCGACCGGAAATAAACATTTGGTGACTGGTAGGATTCGAACCCGCGAACCTCTGGGACCAAAGGTGCATATACAAACAGTTAACTACAAGACAACACCAAAAATCAACATATCACCCCAACCGGAGATGAAACATTTAGTGACTAATAGGATTCGAACCCGCAAACCTCTGGGATCAAAAGCTCATACACAGACAGGAGACTACAATACAACACCGAAAATCAACATATCACCCCAACCGGAAATAAACATTTGGTGACTGGCAGGATTCAAACCAACAAACCTCTGAGACCAGAGGCTCATACACAGCCAACTACTAGATAGAAACATTATTCAGATTAAACATCATTCCAACAATACATAGCATGTATGAAATGACCACGTTGGTATCACCATAGATAAAACATACTCCCTTAGTAGATTTCTCATCCTTATAGAACAGCTGAAGAAAATTTTATTGTTAGTTCTGTACGGTTTATATAGAGGTCGTCTTTTGTTTACAATTTTTCCCCGTTATTACAGCCATTTAAAACCTCGTTTAACCAAATAATACGATCTAATCATAAACAATAACTTGTCCCCTAGTTATATAACCAAACAGCAAAGCACAAATCAAGAAAACAACCCTAAAATAATAGAAACAAAGTTTCGTCGACACTAGCGCCTTTGTGTCACGTACATGAACTAGACACGAAAAACGTGCTTCAAAATTTACAATGGGATGAGAAGTCTACTTGTGTTGGTTAGTCTATGCCGTCTATGGTATCACTTAGCAAGAGTTGGCGGTATCACCTAATTACAGAGGTTATATAAGATGGCGGGAGCCTACGTATGCAATACGTGATTAAGTGAGGCTTGGCGGGAAGATGAGGTTACGTTGTTTGGCGCGATAATAAAAGTGAGGTTATGTTACTTGGCGGTAAGGTGATTTTTTCATTTAGCGGGAAGGTAAGGTTTTTTTTGTTTGACGTGAAATAAAAGTGAGGTTATGTCACTTAGCAGGAAGGAGAGGTTTTTTTTGGTTTGGCAGGAATGGGCGGGAAGTAAGGGATTTTTTCGTTTGGTGCGAAAATAAAAGTGAGGTTATGTCACTTAGCAGGAAGGAGAGGTTTTTTTTGTTTGGCAGGAATGGGCGGGAAGTAAGGGATTTTTTCGTTTGGTGCGAAAATAAAAGTGAGGTTATGTCACTTGGTGGGAAGGAGAGGTTTTTTTCGTTTGGCGGGAATTGGTGAGAAGTAAGGGTTTTTTCGTTTGGCGCGAAAATAAAAGTGAGGTTATGTCACTTGGCGGGAAGGAGAGGTTTTCTTTCGTTTGGCAGGAATCGGCGGGAAGTAAGGGTTTTTTCGTTTGGCGCGAAAATAAAAGTTAGGTTAGACCACGTGGGTAAAAGTGTGGTTAGACCACGTGGGTAAAAGTGTGGTTAGACCACGTGGGTAAAAGTATGGTTAGACCACGTGGATAAAAGTGTGGTTAGACCACGTGGGACACCAGAGGGCATAGTTTAAGGGGAGGAGTGGGGATGAAATGCTCTTCTCTGATTGGTGCCCGCAAGAGCTGGGTATCCTACTCCCTGTATAAATGTTGAATAGATATTGTATACATTAGTTAAAAGACATAAACATTAGAAATTAGATTATAGCTTATACTACACATATTAAACAGTACAAATATAATACAGTGTCAGTATACAGTTATTCAATAAACATTTACGCAGGAATAAAATAACAGTTTATTTACGTTAGATAGCTGTAAATCTATTCCCCATAAGAGCCCATGTTAGACCTCAAGTATCGGCCCTAACTACTAGTCTGCACTTAGCATTCTTAAAAATCTTTTGAAGCTACCACCAGTCTTCAATTCCCCTGCCAACAAATCTTCGCCATCTCGTTCAAAATCTTGTAACATTTCACTGTCACTGTACCTAATCCTAGCTTACCTAGGTGAGGGTGATGATTTTAAAATAAATATTTATTGGTCTCCATGGCTGCAAAGCAATGATAACACTCACAATGTTTACGTTTGCTATGACATCTCAATGTAAACAAGCAGAACTGTCAAGTTAATTTTATTTTCCAATATTAATTTTTATGTGAACACACATTTTGATAATATAATCAATGAGTCTAATGAAAACATTGAAAACCAAATTTAATACTCTATAATTTATACGTTTTGAAACACAAACTCCAAAATATGTGGAACAAATGGTATACTCACAAAATCAAATTTGAGGTTCAAAAGTTGAAAATCGACCAGTTAGCATAAAATACAGCTTTGCAAATTGTAGTCATAACATTTAAGCATTCTTTTATCAGTAGCTTAAAGTATGTTTTATTACTTAAATGGATGTAAAAAAAATTTTGTCTACCCATAAAACTTACTCATTGGAAAATATAAAAAATAGTACCATACTTCCAACAATCATGTTTATGCTACACTCGACTGCTTCTTGAAAAAACAGCTTATTAGGCAAAAACATCTGCAATGTGTATTCTAATGCAGTGGCGGATCCAGAGGCGAAGGGCGAAGGGGGCGACAGTACCCCCCTCGGCATACATACACAAATATTTTTTACTGCATGTAGTACAGTAGTGCATACATTGCGTAAAATAATTTGTCACACTAACTTTGGACAAAGAAATGGTATAAAACTAATTATGTTGTTTACCTTTTGTTGCCAGGTTCTTGATAAAATAATAATGTTAAGCTCTATGTGATGCCACACTTGTGGCGAAATGTACATAGAGCTTAACATTATTATTTCATCAAGAACCTGGCAACAAAAGGTAAACAACATAATTAATTATTTGTTCTTGAATCTGGGAATACCACATCAGGTATAAAACTACAATTTTGGAGACTTAGTCTACAAAAACTTTTTGGGGGGGTACCCCCGAACCCCCCAGACCCCCTGTTTCGCCCCCCCCCCTTGTGACTGTTCTAGATCCGCCACTGTTCTAATGACTGTGAGATCTGTAAAATTAATTCATTCTGTATTTATCTAAACCAGACTTGGAATAAATGGAATACTGCTGTGATCTGTCTGTGGCTTAGTTACAAACTGTCAAAATGAATCACAGATACTATCAATGTATTTCTCACTACTACATCCATACTAATACCATGAGTAGCACACCAACAGCATGTAGCACATCAATGGGCAAGTTCAAATTCCTAACTTATGTAAAATTTAGAAAAACATCATTTTTATTCAGTTACGATGCTTTGTTTATTTATTGTTAATTTATATTTAAAAACAGCTGTAAATAAAGTAACACCATTTACACAATTTTATCAACTGTTTTATTTCAATTTTGTTCACATTACAACAAAGATAAGAGACTAACCTAAAAATGTTTGCTTATTTCTACTAGATGCCTGTAAAAATCGGATCCCTTTACTTGAAAAACATACCAACAATAACCATTTAAACAATCCAACAAATATATAAATTACAAGAAACTATGTAAATTGAAACAACAATATACATTTAATTTCAACGTAACAATGTTTATTAAAACTTGCAAAACAACAATACCACAAAATATTCTTTAAGTTATACATAGAATGGTAAGTTATCTATGCATTGTTTAAGGGCACCGATAACCTGACTTTACATAAAATTACTGACTTAGATAGATTTTTAACTCAGCAAAATGCTCAGACTCAAAGTTAAACCTAGAAGTTTAAACAGATGGCAAGACAAATAAAGAAGGATAGTTAAAATCTCAATAAATGACAACCTTGACAAATTTACTTTGTCAACGTACGTTGTCAATGTACAACGCCTGAAACTGTGCGTACACATTAGTCGTTGATAACTCTAACCTTTCAACTAAAAATAAAGTTAATCATTGAATACTCTTCAATGCAGAAACTAAACAAAAGTTCATTACCAACTAAAAATATCTTCATTAAAATTAAGTTAAAAATGACTCTGCTTTCCAAAATTTGCAAACTAATACTAACCATTCCTAATGGGTGCATCAATATAAACAACCCCACCAATTCATTTTAACTTAAGAATAAGTAAAAAACTGCTATTTACATACTATTTACAAAGTAAAAATGGAAAATCGTAAAAACAAATAAACGTTACAGTACAGGAAATCTCTATCTACGGTACCAGAGAGTGGAGTGGTGGTTCACGTTGGTCGGAGTGAGCATGTTATGACAGGTTAATCTCTAAAAAAACAAACTGTATTATTGACCAAAAGTAAAACACAAGCACATACAAAATAAATATTTACGATCTTATATGAATATAAAAATTTGAATGAATAGTGTTTTTGGCCTCTGGGAACATCAAAATGAAAAAGTAAATCAGTCCTGGGACTAGGTCTCACCGTGCCACCTACGGTAAAAGCTACTTCCCTTAAGGGAAATTCTGTAAAATAGGCCCTTGCAACAATTTTAGTAAGATTCAGGTAGATTTGGAGTAAGCAATATAAACTTCATGCATTAGGGACAAAGTCTTAAATTAATTGCAAAGAAATATAGGACGCTTGTGACGAGCTGGCTTATCCATAGCAACGTTAAACAACAATGAATGGTGACGTTCCGGAACGTTCCTAGCTCCTGGCGCCGTGGCCCGGCTGACGTTCCGGAACGTTTGTAGCAGCGAACGTGTTAAAGATATTAGCTTTGAAATATATTCTCTGTAAATAATAGTGCAAGGAATGGTAAGAATCTCAAGATTTTGAATGTTTCCTTACAAGATTCCCCAAAGCTCAGTCCTGCCATACACCTCACAGCTTTCTGTTGAACGACTACCATAGTTGTTTTATGGTTGTTTTGGTAGTGTATCCCCATACTTTGATACAGTACGTTAAATTGGAATAAAAAATTAGTACAGTAGTAGATTGTTTTCAAAGTTTCAATTGAACATACTTTACTCAATCTTCTTAGTATAAATCTGACCTTTATAATTTTGTACTAAGGTAATCTATATGATCATTCTAGTTCAGCGCACTGTTTACCATGAGACCCAAGAATTTAGTTTGTGGAACAATATCTACGATCTGATCTTCTTCCACTAAACTTTTACTGTCAAAACTTAACATTCTAGTCCAAAAATTCAAAAAAGCTGTCTTATCAACACAATAAATACCAACCCATTCCTGGTCGGAGACTGGTTGTGACCAGTTGAACCGTCCCTCAATAATCTGTAATCAGAAAAATTGAAAAATCACATGGGGAAGTGTGAACATTTTAAATCTAAGAAGATAAATAATTAGTTACATCTACATACTAAGTACTTTATTTAAAGCTTGTGTGGCATCTTTTGGGGGTCTTCTTAAGCGATATTTTATCACTAATGGCTGCAGTAAGATCAAGCGAATAAGAAGTGAAATGACGAGTCCAAGAAATGAAACGGAGGAATAAAGACGTGACTCTGCCGCGTGTCCGTCACCACATTATTCTCTCGACCCTGTAACGATATCAGTGACGTGTGTAAATATATAGACAATAGCGTTAGTGAAGAAAATAGCGTATGCCCTGTGAAGATCCCACACAAGCTGGCAAAATGCATAGGGTTACACAAAAACATCTTACTCAAGATCAGAGGCAGCAACAACACAAATCTAATATCAACTTTTCCACTTTTCAGCCACGACCCGATTATTATAACTGGTGTAAAAGAATACTGAATATTTGCGCAATGACTTACGTCTCCCATAGTGTCAGGAAGTTTGTAGGCAGCGTGCCGGCCATACAGGTGGGGCAAGTAGTCTTCCCGTTCACTAAAATCAAAATGGAAACTTAATTAACAATAAAATCCTCACAGAGCAAGTAAGTATTATTGATTACTGACACCATAGGGTGAATAGTTGGCACCAGTCTCTATAACTACAACTAACTGGATTATGTGCTTTAATCCTCAGAAATAAACGCTGCAGCCATACACTTCATACGGGGCTGTCGTGTTTTAATTAATAAAGACTGACATATCTTTAATAATACTTCCTCAATTCAAATGCAGGATTCACCGTTTTAAGGTCGATTCACACACATCAGTTACGGCACGTCACAGTAAAGTCACTTCAGGCACGTCACAGTTAACAAAAATATTCTTTAGTGGATTTTCTATTGCGCTATCTACACTTATCCGTTGCAGTCCCGTCAGTCACTCTGCTGGCATCCGTCAGTCAATTTCAGATTTCTTTCCAACGATACTTTTTGATTGTTCGGACGCCTGACGGAACTGTTTGAGGTTAGAAAATAGTGTTATTGTTATTTAAATGGTTGCGTTAGTATTTTGAGTACTGTTTGTAACAATCAACAAGATGGACAATGATAATTTAATAGAATATAGGTTTAAAATTTAAATTTTTTGACTATAAATTACTGTAAATATTAGAGACGGACGACTGACTGAAACCAACTAACGGACAATTGACTGAGAAATTGCGGATGCAACTGTGACTGGACTGTAACTGGACTGCAACTGGACTGCAACGGAACTGTGACTGGACTGATGTGTGTGAATCGACCTTTACTCGTCATGAAAGTACAACCCTCAAGACAGCTTACCTTTTGAAGGAAAATCTGTGGAGGAGGCCTGTCTGGGGGAGGCCACTGCCCCATTGCCAAAGCTGTAACTGTGTTCTGTGCTTGACATGACCTCAGACGCCCTGAGCGAAAAAGTCAGTTACGGTTGAATTCCGCTCCAGAGATAAATGGTAACATCAGGAAGGATATCCCACAGTCCAAAAATGATTGAGTAAAGTTGACTGCTTCCGAGGAAGGTCAAGCTACTTAGGCAGTATCATCCAACATCAAGCTATCCCAACTGATCTAATTGTCTAAATTTCCTCTTTAAATTACCAATTCATGGTAAATTGTAAAGCATGGCAAAATACTATTTTCAGTATTTTCAATTTTAGAACATACATACCGCCTGTCAGTTACAGCTTGATTGTTGTCGCGATCCTCCTGTTCATGCCTGGACTTCTCAGATCTATATGAGTATTCAAGAGAGGATCTGACATCTGTAAAACATAATATTATGTAGGCCTACGTTAGATGAAAGAACAAAAACCAATCACTGATGATACTTCAGCTGACATTAAATAACTATAGGTCGGCCACTTAGAAAGCGACCTGCGCGCTAATGCTAACTAATGCTAGAGGAGGTCGTTTTCTAAGCGGCCGACCTATACCATGAATTCATCTTTTTATTTTCCAATTTTACATTGTCAGAAAATATAAACAGGCATAGAAAACACCTATAAGTGCCTAAAAAAAATTGTATCAACTCATGGCAAAAATAATTATGCATCTCAAGAAATTAAAAAGAGTCATGTAGAAAAAGATTTTTTCTTGGCTGCCTGTCAAAACTGTGAATCTACACTGGTCCAGTAATCTTATGACTGAGAAGTTTTGGTCTTGGTGATATCGGTAAGCAAGTATGACTGTGTAGTAAAAACATAACTAAGGCTGTGGTTTGCAAGATGCGTATTAGATGCGCTGCGACTTGAAAGCACTGTGATCGATTTGTCAGTGAAATTCAGCAGAAGTCTTTCCTTGAGGTGGTATTCGGGCTATATAATTAAAAAGTTATATAGTCCGAATACCACTTCGACGAACCCTTGGCATATTCCCGCGCTTGCACTTTATCTCCAACTTTGAATTTCCTTTTAATACCGACTTGGACTCCCTTCTTCTGATATTTGTACGGTTCTAATGTTGGAACAATGATTGCGATGTTTGTTCGTACGCTCCTTCCAAAAATTATGTGGTATGCTGATGTACCAGTTGAATTCGAGGATTGCCTCAGTTGCATTAGAAGTCTTTGGATTTTATATTGCAGTGTCCCCTTTGTCGCCATTGTTGATTGCACTAATTTTGCTAATTAAAGTTCACATTTTCTATAAGGAAATAGAAAGTAGGTTTTTATTTTATCTTGGTTATCACAATCTGTAAGTAAACATAAACAATTCAACCAGTAAACAAAATAATGATTTTAACACATTAATGTTAGAAATAAAATTTAAATAAAACAAAACACATGTTAATTGTTAACATATGTTTTATCGGTACTTTCCTGTTAAAGGGAACATTCATTATTATCGATGATTTTCTTTGATATATCGATATTAACAAATTGAAACATATCAGTTGACAACTACGATAAATAAATATTGTTCAGAATCGACAATCGAAAATTTAAAAAAATATTGAAATAAAACTTTTCCAAACTAACCTAACAAAACAAACCAAACTTGCTGTAACATTTAAAAACTCCATTTAATATTCTCAACTCGCCTTTTCTGTTATCAAACTGAATTTTTAAATGGTACAGCAAGTTTGGTTGGTTATGTTAAGTTAGCTTAGAATGGATTCATTTCTTCCATATAATAGACTATATTTTAGCCTAAATATCAGCTGTCAATTTGTAATGTATCGTAAAGGAAAAAATCGATGTATCGAAAAAAAAATCACCGATAATGATGAATGTTCCCTTTAACAGGAAAGTACCGTTTTATCTATGGTTTAAGTCATTGACATTTTTAGGTTTTAGGTAAATAACATGGAATCTATAATATTAAAACGTGACAGGGATTCTGAATCAACCACTCAATGGATTTTCATGATTTTTGTGTTGAAAGAAAGATTATTTTGAGAACTAGGGAATGTCGAGGCCATAATTTTAATTTAGAATCCCAGTTTTTTAGAAATTAAGTTTAAATCTTTAAAAAGTCTAGCAACCGACGCTAACATTCTAAACTATATTTTGGCATAATATAATTTGCTTAACATAACAGCTGTAAACATTCAGCGCTTGTGACACAAATTCAGCTATTGGATGAAAATGAAATGACATACGTATAATTGATTAATTTATACTATGTGTAATGCTATAATCATTTATACATTCATTTAATCGGTCAGAGGATGAGAGTTTATTTAACATTGTAAAATACTAGATGTTCTAATTTATTTTCTTGAGCAGTTTTCAAAATATTTAATTTGTTTTAGAGCAATATAATTTGTTATAACTTTCAGCTGGTTGAATAAAAAGATATTCTATAGAACTACTAGCTGACCCGGCGAACTTCGTATCGCCTAAGTTATAGGTTTCCCCTAAGACAGACCGATGGAAAGAAAGTACCGTTACGTTTAATTTTCAAGATGATCTCGTTCGCATCGCTCAATCACGTCCTGGTTGAAGTTCGTTCGCTACGCTCACTCACCTTTGGGTTGGAGCTCGTTCGCTACGCTCACTCACCTTTAGGTTGGAGCTCGTTCGCTGCGCTCACTTGCCTTCAGGTTAGCTCGTTCGCTACGCTCACTCGCCTCCAGGTTGAAGTTCGTTCAGGTTGGAGCTCGTTCGCTGCGCTCACTTGCCTTCAAGTTAGCTCGTTCGCTGCGCTCACTTGCCTTCAAGTTAGCTCGTTCGCTACGCTCACTCGCCTCCAGGTTGAAGTTCGTTCGCTACGCTCACTCACCTTTTGGCTGCAAATTAGCTGTTGTCATAAATGTAAAAGAAATAATAGTGCTGCACCCTGTTGGTAATCCTTGTAACTTTAATGCTATTGAACATCATAGAACAGAACCAACTTGTTTAATTGAAACAGCTGTTAAGATTCATTAATTCCATTTCTCATAAGGTTAACATGGGAAACTCCAGAGCCACTGGGGCGGAGCCCTTTTAAGAATTTCGAAACAGGAAATAGTTTATGTCCGATTTGCATACCTACAGAATTTACACACCAAATTTCATAACGATCGGTGAAGTCGTTCCGGAGGAGTTTGCAGACAAACACTGTGACACGAGAATTTTATATATTAGATGAGGTTAGTTTATTTATTCTGGCATTTTGTCATTGATTATAGGAAATAAGTAAGACTCTATAACCATATTGCTGTATACGAATCAAAGCTCACGAGTCTTACAAAAAAGCTTATAATCAACTTTTTGAAGAAAGGTTGGGAAAATAACAATGATCACATGTTTGAATTCATCTTGGCAGCTTTATCTTTACTATAAATTTTGAACGGCTTAAACTATGCTTGAGTTAGTAATATACACACCATATACAGTTTTAATGGACTACTCAATTCCCATACGTAGGACGGGCCAACAGCTCGTATAAAGTAAATGTATTCTTTATTTATCACTAATAATTCATTGAAATAAATAGTAATAACAAATCTTATTTCCGTCAAATTGCAAACGGGAGCAGCAAATAGGCCGTGCATATTAGTTACACGTGCACTTTGATTTGCAATCTAGGAAACCACAGAGACGATACGTTGTAAGATGAATGTTCTGCAGCTCATATATGCTTGTGTAGCTCATCTATTACGTGCCTAGCAAACCACAGCCTTAAGGAAACATCTTTAATGTCAGGCTTATCAGCCAAGACGCAACTACTGAACTACTGTATTTGGTTTAGTAGAAAATCTAATACACTCACCACGTTTTTCATCAAAGAAGCCTTCAAACAGGACAAAGTTGTTGTTCTGAGGGTATATCTTTGCTAACCCGTAGTGCTTGTTCAAGAAGTACAAGATGTTTTGAGATGGTCTGTCAATCGCTAGTTTACAAGGCTTAATGTCTTTGTCCTGAAAAATAAAAATTCAAATTTATCTAAACGAGGGGACTCGTGCGCAAACAGCGCAGTTAAATAGGGTCCTAAAGGTTTTTTCTGAGAGAAAATTAATCCAGTGAAAAATACCTCTTCAAGATATAATTTACAATTTATTGATGGTTTAAGAACTAGACTTTAAAGACTGACTTGCCTACCTAAGGAACAGTGGTTAAATTACAATTCACATTTAAATTGTTATAGAGAAAGTTATTCAGCATAACTGTATCTTTGAAAATGACTGTAGTATTAAATTAATTATGAGGGGCGTAGCCTTAAAGGCAATAACATTGATTGCCATTCACAGGTGTGCTAGATCAAGCTTTAAAATGACACCTCAATCTTAAAAATCGGTTAAGTAGAACAGCTGCAAAAGGGAAGTAACAGAGGTATATACTTACTGTATTAAGTATATAAATAGCTTAAGTGCACATTCAGGTTAGTAAAAGTCATTTGAATATGTTTTAACGGTTAATTAAAACATTTCTTGAGAAACTAGGATTATTCCTACTTTAACACGTTCGCTACTGCAATAGTACAACATTTTTCATTCATATGGACCAGCGACAGCTGGTTTCTACCCATAGGCTGCCGCATATATGCGACGGCTAGTTACATTAAAATAGACTGACGTTGCATATTTGCGACGGTGTTCCAATGTTACCAAAACGCTTATATCTTTGTTCCTTTGGAAAATAAATTTTGCCAACAATTTTACAGGGGAAACATTTAGAAGCGATTTTTATTCTCACCTATCGTGAGGCTATCTATGACCAATTTCACTCAACTATTGTTTACAATGTAAACTTGGGCAGTGTTAACATACCTCTAACATGTAGTCAAACATTCTCTTTCCTATTCCAGTCCTCTGCTTTGATTCATGGACATAGAAGTCAAGTACGCACAATGTTTCCTTCTCATGGACCATGCCAGTTGGGTCAGACAGGAACAAATGTTTCACTCCCATCTTCAGAATACCAACAACGCTTCCTTTTCCACTGCAAATTTCAAGTTAAAACTAGATTAATTTACCAATCAGGCAAATATTTCTCAAGATTCACAAAGGTCAGAGTGGATTTAGAAATCTCTACAGAGTCTAGGATTGTAAACTTCTCAGTTACCAACTCTTAAGTCATAATCGATAAGAAACCTCAAATACAAAATAATTCTGTCAGTTATATGAACTGATGTAAACATTAATAACTTCATTGGCAACTGAATCACACTACTAAAGAAAAAAAGGTATGCAAGTTATAATTGAGGAGGTCCTGCTATCACAATGACACCACATAAAAAGCTAAAACACCCTTTTCTCAGTCCTTTTCCTATGTATAATTGATTATGCAAATTTATTTATATGTAACATACAAGAAAATATTAATTTATATACATGTGTCTGCTAGCACGATAACTTAAGCAAAAATCATCCCATTTTGAAGAAATGTGGTACAAACTTGAAAAAGCGAAGTCCCGCGCTCTACCACTAGACCAGCTCACTCCCCCTCCCCCAAATAATATAAGTTCTACCATTACAAAACTGGCACCATATTAACCTAGAATTCAAGATCAAGTTGTAAATGAGTCAACTGGAAGGTACCTACTCAGGCGCTGGAAGCACTGGGGTGCCTTTATACAGTTATGCTTTCTCCCATATCAAAAATGTCCCTGGATAAAATTAACCCTGTACTTAAATTCTAGGGTTAATGGCTTTTTATGCAGTATTAGTGTTTTGTATGTTTTTTTAATGACTTGGACCGTGGTGTCGTCCCGTAATCCAGTTACTTGGAGGCCATGAATTGTGGATATATTTATAGGCATGATCTGTGGATGTGATACTCCCTGGTTTGCATTAGTGAGTACTACGACAATATTCAGTATTATCCTGATAGTTAGACCAATTCGTAAATTACAAGGCAATAATGTGGTTCGGACTTCACTATGAAATGCATGTCCCTTAGTTGACATTGGCTCTATGAACTATTAACAGTAATGTCTAAGGAACATGTCAGTAACAAGACTACAAGATCACACCACTCATCTCCATTCATACTTGGCTTAAAATAACTACCTTTGTATGGTGGCCATTTCAGTTAAAAGTATGGGTTTGATTTTTATCCCATATTGGATTATCTGTAGTTTTCCGTATCCATGGTCTCCTTCCCCCTATTAGCCTGGATAGTCAAGGTTCTGCTGTATTTCATTTTGAAAAATGAGAACTAAGTTACACCTATGTCACCACTGTCTTTACATATCTGCCAGATTGTCACGTTTTTAGGACAATTCAAAATGTTTGTCCTTTTGCCAAAGAACATTAAAAGACAACACTATATACTCTGTTCACAAAATTTAGGCGGTTTTAGGGGAAGGGATATATCCCCTCCACGTCTTCATCCTATCATTAAAATATAGCTCAACAGCTGAGACTAGTGTAAACATCAATCACAGCTGCAACATACATTAAGCAGAAAGTGGTGGGGGAACTTCCCCTCAAACCGCCTAAATATTATGAACAGACTATAGCCAAATACAGCGTACTTACTGGTTGTCTCTAGGGTCCATCATGATATAGAGCGTGTGATCACAGATTCTTAATCTCTCCGCACTGGTGATAGGATGGTGTAGGCCTTGTGCTCTCGCCGAGGCTAGTCCCATGGTGTCTACTATATCCGACACTTGGCTTGCCACATGTCTGATAAATAAATAACAAGGTCAGAAATTATAACAAACAGTCACTAGACTGTACAATAATTGTAAAGGCTAACCAAATAACTGTTTGACCTTTCATACTTAGACATCAATAAGCTAATTAGGCCTAGGGCTATTGTTTAATCTAAACTTGTCTTGACAGTCAGTACACAGCTTAAACCAAAGGGCCTGTAACATTTTGCCGGCATAATAGGTTCTATATTGGGATTAATTTCCCCTTTTGAGATTATTTTCATACAATTACAATATATTAAATGTAGTCATTGCACTTGATTGCATCATCAAAGATGCAACACTTCTCTAAACTGGACAAAGCTGTTATGATCATTGCTGTTAATAAGTTTAAATGGTCCTACTGAAGAAACAACCTATAATAAGTAACAAGCCTACCATTCTACACTCATAGTTATTCAGCTAAAACTAGCACGATAGAATATGACATATTCTAATTGCTACTCTAAGTAACTTACAGTTTAGAAGGAATCTTTTAGAGTCTGCGTAATCCTAGGGATATCAACCACAAGTAAGATCAGAAAAATAGCCTAGGCTAGGCCTATTTATAAGGACCTTTAAAGGTGTAATTGCACTACTGCTCAAAGTCGAATGTTGAGAAGTTGTTATTGACATTGTGATAAAGGCTAGACCATATACGTCACAGCCTTAATTCATCCTATCTCAAACCTAGAAGTCTAACATCATTTTGTAAAGATAATATACGACCATTGGATGGAGATATATTTTGTTTTATTTGAGAGTTGTAAGAACATACCTTACATTTATCTGAGGTAGAGTAAGATGTATTGGTAACCTAACCTAGGCTAGTTTTAAACCTAATGCTAACATGAAATACTTACGAAGCTTTTCTTATGTCACCGTTGAAATCCGCTGGTAGCAGAGTGTTAGAAACTTTGGAAATATAATATTTAAATATTTCATTTAAGTTATATTTGAACTCCATATTCAAAGCACTATAATTGAATGCACTATTTCAACAAAGAATTTAGGCTAAGATAAGAACTTGATTTGAAAAGTTTACAGAAACGTCGTACACTCTCCTATAGTAGGCCTTACGTCTAGCACAAAAATTGAACTTGTCTAATCCATCAGACCATGACGACAGACGACAGCCTGACAGCCAGTCCAGCGGTCCCGCGTAGCGTCAGAACGTCCCTTCCATTCCCTTTCGCTTTCAGCGTTTTATAACCATTGCCACCCCTAGAGAGACAGACGGAGAGAGAGGCTGAGATTCTGAGAAACCCCTTTGGAGAAACCCAGCCGTCGCCTCGGTTTCTTATTCTTCGCTTACAAGCGTTTGAATGGAGGCGGAGGCGGGAGAACTACTTGTGTGATGCGGCACGCGGAATACCGGAAAAGGAAAGTCCCGGTAGTTTGACAGAATGCCACTGCAATATTGTTTCGCTAGAGTCGAGTTGGATTGGAGTTATTATTGCACTGATAAAGACATTTGATTTAATTTTCCTAATTTATTTATTTCATACTAAGCTATCAACATTTCAATAAATAACCGGTATCAGCATTCTGACACATACTTTGTCCCATAAGTTTGTCAACAACCTTTATCATGTGTAAGCAGTGAGAGTAAATATACGGAAGTGGGATTAGTACAATTTTGATCAGAATTTAAAGGACTATAACATACTAAATTTTTATCAAAATCGTTTGGGAAATTTTTGTGAACCATTTTTTCCGTTATTTTATGGGGTTTTATGGGAAAATCCCCATTTAAAAAAATTCAAAAAAAATGAAAAACTATCAAAATTGTAAGGACCATTACATGTTAAATAAAAACCGAATTTTTTTCTAAAATCCAATTTTTTGTTATTTTATGGGGTTTTTTATGGGAAAATAACATAATTTGCAATAACTTCTGAACCGTAATTTTTATAGAAATGGGATTTGTACCATTTTGTTCAGAATTTAAAGGGCTACAACATACTTAATCTTTATCAAAATCGTTTGGGCCATTTTTGAGAAAATTAGATTTTTCCAGTTTTTTTTATGGGACAATTGACATTAAAAATCAAAATTTCAAAAAAATGAAAAAAACCTGGAGATAACATGGATTAGTACCTACATACCAAATTTCATCAAAATCGGACTACAGGTGTGGCCTGTAGCTCTGTACACATCCAGACACACACACACACAGACATCATCACTTCGATAACCAATTTTTTTGGGCCCAGGGGGGCCCAAAACTGATATATCCACTCAAAACTCAAACTCGAAAATTTTGACGAAAACAATACTTTCTCCATATACTATGGTATAGGGGGAGAAAGTAAAAAACGCACCTTATTAACCTTACCTCTTCTCTGTATCAGCAAACATAGAAGTACGGCCTACTCATTAAAATTAATGTTATTTAAATCTATAAAATTAGTTTTGTCTGTGAACATTGCATAGAATCGTTCAGTTTTTGGTTGGTTTTACCATAGATAAAACATACTCCCTTAGAAAACCTTGTGTTGCTTAGTCTATGGTTTTACGTTTCACAGCCGTTATCTAAGAAAGCAGAAAAATGTGCTATCTCAATTAATTTCTGTCTTTATGTATTTCCATTTGTCTGCCTGTCTATGTGTCTGTAACGACAAAATACTAATTTAGGTAGCCTACTCCAAGAAAACTACCGATAAAGATGCAGATCCATTTACTGTATTTTCACAGTACGGTAATTAGTGAAAATGTCTTTAGCTATTAAAACAACTTTTGAAATAAAACGTTCAAAACCCCACTATTGTGCCATTTTGTCACATTTCCCCCTAATATAAGTACAATAGCTTTTAAAATGAAATACATTGACTGGGTACCATCCAGGCCGGGAAATCGGTCTGTCTAATCTCGTGTGATACGATGTTGTGCTCATGTGACTCATATGTCAGAATCATGGATGTTGCAAAAATAGCTTTTGCAATGTGTTGATTTCTGTTTAGAACTAAACTTCCTTCACAATCAAAGAGCAGGTGATCGGCTGTCTCCTCTGACCTACCGCAGTGCCTACAGATCGGTTCACCATAAGCCCATCCGTTGTAAATGTTTCCTGAATCGCCCATGGCCAGTTATCAGTTCCACTGTTAATTTAATTCTTCACCAGTCTAGCCTCGAGGCTTCGGATGAAGAATATCACAAAATATATCACAGAAAAAATATGACCCTCAATCGAGTTGCTAAACCTGACTAAACAACCAGATGATGTAATTTAATTATTTTTGCCATAAATGGATATGTATAGCGTTTCTAAAGCTAAAATAAAATAAAAACCGTTAATATGCTTAAAAATCTAATTTATTAATTCCTTATGAGTACGGTAAAACAAATATTTAATTTATTTTAACTGGTGTTCAATGACTCAAGTTTTCTATTCTGTTTTGGGAAATCTGCTATAGGTAGGTACTGTATTTGTGAATTTTAAAATTTCTAAAGGAACCTACGTATTTAAATTCAGCAAAATTTTTGCTTGCATAATACCATTAAACCCAGTTAGTTATCAAGCTGACAACAACGGATGTCAACTGATATCAGCTGATGTCAACTTGTATTTGGCCCAGTTGACATCAACTGACTGATGTCAGTTGAATATCAGTTGACATCCGTTGTTGTCAGCTTGATAACTAACTGGGTTTAATGGTATTCTGCTGATATCAACTGGGCCAAATACCAGTTGACCTTAACTGATATTTTCACTAGGTTCAAAAAGTCAGAGGCAACCCATTTAGAAGGCTTAAACATAGTAAGCTTGCTAACCCTAAGAAGGGGAGTTTCAACCCAAGTTTTCGGTGCTTTTCATTGTCCCGTGACACAATAGAGGTGCACTCGCTTTTCGTGATATACGTACAGTATATCACGAAAAGCGAGTTCATCCACAGAAGGTTGTGGACCAATCATTGTTGCCGATGAGGTAGCATTTGCCAATCTGACCCCAGCTTCATTTCCTTCAATGCCTGAATATCTAGGCACCCAGTAGAGCGTAGATCATTCCTAATATCCAATTCAGACACAGAAGCAAGACAATCCCACACGAGCCTTGACTTGAATTCGTATGAGTTTAGTGTTTTAGATAACTCCACTATCAGTGTAGATGTTAATTGTTTTGTCTCTAAACTGTTTGTTAAGATTTCCTCAAACGTATATTTCTAGTTTTGTGTACAGTACCTAGTTGCTTCTTTTGGCAAATTAAGTAAATATTTTACAAGTATAATATTGTTTTGTATGTATCGAACGTCTCATTTGAAAAATGATTACATGCTACTGCACAGGAAGAGGTTACACATATTTGGGAGTCGTAAGCAAAGAAATTACTATTGGGTAAGGAACTTGACAAACAACAGATTAAGTGTGTTTATTTGAGTATGTTTACAGTTACATTGTTACTTGAATTGTAAGATAAACTACTAGTGAGTGTGTAGTATAAAACATTTTCCACAACGTTACAGAGGAATATTTCTCCTCTATAAATTGTAGTCCATGTAAAACATCTTATGGTGAAATTGTACCCTGCAACATGGCATCATGTTATTTCTCCATGAACATAAATAATTCGGGAAAAATACTGTTGCGTCTGATAACAGTTTAAAACTACACTACCCCTCTTTAATTAAGAAATATTTGACATAAATTATGGATTTTACGACTCTTCTCAATTAAATGTTTACAAGTTTGCAGGAATAATTAAAAAAGGGCATTACTACAACTTGCTTTACCGTTTCTTGGTTAGAAAAATAGTAAAACTTGAATCAGAAGGATACTGAATTTGTTTCTTGTCTATCTAGATCTACCTCAACTCAGAACCATCGAGTACACGAGTGTGTTGACAAAGAACCATTCACTTTTAATACCTATAGGCTTTAATGTATTCCAAGCTGACAGTAAATGAGGAACTATGAAATTCCCTAGCAAGTAATTGTACCAGCTGATTCAATAGATGCAAATTTAAATTAAACATCTAAATAACTTCTTGGTCAGCATTGTACGTGTTACTAAATTTACGGAAAGTAAATAAAGAGACATCTTATAACACTTAAAACATATATTTACGCTTATACTGTTACTCACAAGACGGTAAATATACAATAAAGATAGTAGGTAAGTGGTGATTGATTTCGATTGGACACTCCAATCATCATCAGACCCAATAGGCGAATGGGTCATTCGCATTACCCAATAGGTCATTCACCTATTGGGTCTGATGATGATTGGAGTGTCCAATCGAAATCAATCACCACTTACCATCTTTTTTGTATATTTACCATCTTGTGAGTAACAGTATAAGCGTAAATATATGTTTTAAGTGTTATAAGACGTCTCTTTATTTACTTTCCATTAAAAATCTAACCAACCAAGATAGCTTCAAAGACAAATATTTGACTATTAAGAGAACTAGACATTCCATCCCAATGTTATGGTTGTCGCCAGATTCAAAATGGGCGTACATTGGTAACTCAATGTTTAAAACATACTTGTGTAAACATGTGCAAGCTGGTTTATCACTTGCGTAGTGAACTGTACTCACAGAAAAGTAATCTAACACAATTTTTAGCAACTACCCTACCCAAAATTATATCTAAAGAAAAAAATCCATGCAAAAATAGATGAATTGGGTGTGTGTAATAATACTAACTACTTCTCAGTTTTGTTTTAATAGTGTTTATTTAACTGATAGCATTAACAGAAAAGGTGACTAAAGAAATCACAGTCAAGTTAATACTGTTCATGCTTACTAATAATTACAATAAGCAGACCTAAGACGTTAAGTATATAAATAATTTATTGCAAGGTAACGAGGCAAGAATAAGGTTTTGTTGGGTTACAGAAATTACAATTGTTATTAAAACAGTAGGTTACTTCTTTCATGTTGTCAGCCCGTTAAAATATGTTTAAAAAAAATATTGGGACTTATTTAAAGTAGAAAAAATTGATTTAATGTAAAAATAAAACTAAGTGTGTACCTTAAACAAGTTTTATATTATATGATCAACAATGGTATGAAAGAAATACCTGATCGATAAATTTGAGATACCGTTTAGCCAAAGCAAAAAAGAATATTATTTTGAACCGAAACAGTAGTGGTCATGTAAAATGATTAAACTCTTGAGAAAAGAGCTCTTGTAGGCAGAGGACTAATTTTCACAATCTTGGGCGGACTTTGGCTAAAATATGTTATTTGACAAATAAGACAACCAGACTGTAATCTTTTGCATATCTGGATTTGTATTAATTTGGCGGGACCAAAAGTTATCACTGTTACCTAAATAATTTGAACACCTTTTTTTTATTTCATTCTGAGTAGGCCTATTTTAGACATTCAGATTTTAATGGAACATTAAGCTCCGAACCCTGTCATCTGGTATAACTAATGGATTGACAAGGCAAACTAAGTAACCTATTGTTTTAGTCTTTGTATCAATACTAGAGGCAATAAAAGAATAAGCGACTGGGTTTTGTCAACTTCACCACATAATGTTTACAAAGCTACGATTATAAACATTACATTTATAAAATTAATAAAAAGTAGCTTTCAACTCCTTTTAAATCCTAAACAATGGGAATATAAAAATATATAAATGCACTAGCAAGCATTCTTGTTTTACTCCACCAAAAATAAATTTTGTTATAATTTTCAATAAAATAATATTCCAAATATATATAAAAATATAACCCAATACAACTGATGGTTAATAAAAACAATTTATATTAAGTCTGGTTCTAAAAGGCACAATAAGAGGATAAACACTTATCTTAAAGAGGTTTAAGATTTTAAAATTGTAAAACATGTCAGTAAAATACTTAAAATATGTTATTTCTTTATTTAATTAACTAGCAACTAAATTTGTTCCAATGGCATAGTAAATACATTATCAACTGTAGGACGGCATATGCGCAAGACTTAATAATTTTTAAGTGGACTTACAGTACAATGTTATTTTAATAATGTAATCAATAAATATATTCATATTCAATTTTTATTTGAGATAGGGTCACCACCTATGTGTGTATTTTCCAATATTTAAAAAATTAGAATACTTTGTATTAAAACAATAAAAAATAGTACTTTTACTTCCAACAATTTGATCACGTTTTTTGTTACACTCCTGCTTCTTGGAAAACACACAACTTGTTAAGCTGTGGCATGTAGCACATCAATAGGTTAGTTTAAATTCCTAACTTGCGTGAAGTCATAGAGATAATTGGATTATAATTGGAGTCACTACTCTCTGGTTAAACATTTAATGAAAAGCGAGGCTTCAAGATGGCCGCTTGTTGCTGTGTTTTGTTGGTCACACTGTCTCAGTTTGGTTGGACCTGTCAAATTAAAGTCAAGATGGCATCGTCCTGTTGTCGTTAGTCATTACAATGGTTAGAATTATTGGAATGAATTTGACAGCTATCCAACCAAAATCAACGATGACCAACATAACCACACGATAAACAGCGGCTACGCTTATCAAACAGAGTGGCGACTCCTGTTATAATCCTTTCATCTCTATGTGTGAAATTTAGAAAACAATCACATTCAGTTATGACGCTTTGTGTATTCGTTGTTTATTTATTTTAAAAAACAACTCTAAATAAAGTAACATCATTTTTGCATATATCAGCTGTTTTATTTCAAATTTTGTTCACATTTCAACAAAGATAAGAGACTAACCCTAAAGAAGTTTGCTTACTTCTTGCCTGTAAAAATTGGATCCCTTTACTTGAAAAACTTAACATATTAACACAATAACCAATCATTTAAAAAATTCAACAAATATATAAATTGCAATAAACTCTTAATTTTGAAATATTATATATTTTTTTATTTCAACGTAACAATGGTTATTAAAACTTGCAAAACAATAACCTGCAGGAATGAATTGTTTGCAACTTTGTTTCTTTAACACGTTCGCTGCGGGCTCTAGTTCTTTACTGCCACGCTGAATGCTCGCCGGTGAGTGTTGGCATCTGCATTTCATTCAATTTCTGCGCAGCAGCATACCAGGAGGAACGGGTATTTTTATGTCTGCGTTTAGCTAGGAATGGGTGCTATATTGTGGTGTAGGTTAGTAGTAAATTTCCCCTTAAAATCCCTTTTCCGGCAAGCTTAGAAATGAACTTTTTGTAACGTCTTTCTCCCTCCAATACAATGGGACCGGCTAGTTCTAGACAGTGCTGCTATCTGTGAGTGTTTCAGCAAACTACGTTGACTTTCGTCGTAACGCAGCACATCACCGCACGTAACTTGCTATTTGCCAGACAGAAATCTTTTAAAGCCAAACAGGTTCGCTTGACACTGCACCGCAGCGGGGCAGTACGCTGTGGGGTTGGTGGGCTGCAGCGAACGTGTTAACTAGCACAAACCTCTTATAGGGGAAAATGGGAAAACCCTGTATCAATAAATGTCAGAATCACAAAGCAAAGCTTGATGTAAAACATTATATTTGAATACCACAAAATGGTTATAAATAGAATGGTAAGTTATCTATGCATTGTTTAAGCACACCGTTAAAATGTTATTACAGACATTTACTGACATAAAATATATTTATAAACTCAGCAAAATTCTCAGACTCAAAGTTAAATATAGAAATTAAAAAAAAGGATAGCTAGACAAATAATAAAAGATAGGTAGCACATCAAACGAATACCTTTGGGAATTCACTTTGTCTCGATGCCTTCAACTGTGCGTACAAATATTAACAAGTACAGATAAAAAAGAGAGACAGCAAATGAAATTAGTTAATTATACGTTAATATAGTCTAAATCACATATAGCGTATAGTGAACCATTGGCGTACTCTAGCCGTCAATGAATAAACTAAAAGTAAACAGTTAATCGTTGATTACCAACTTAACCTTACCTTCACTAAAATTAAGTTAAACATGACTGCTATCCAAAATTTGCAAACTAACTATTCATAATGGGTGCATGAATATAAACAACCGCACCAATTCCTTTTAACTTAAAAGTAAGTAAAAAAACTGCTATTTACAAAGTGAAAATGTAATATCGTAAAAATAAATAAACGTTACAGGAAAACTCTCTCTACCAGAGAGCGGAGTGTTGGTTCATGTCGGACGGAGTGAGCCAGGTTATTCTCTAAAAAAAACACACACAAACTGTATTACCAACAAAAAATAAAACAAAAGCACATACAAACATTTACGATCTTTAAAATTAATAAGAGGCAGTTGCAACATACTGTAGCTGTATTTCCTTTGCCAAACTACACTAAATCTATATAATTAATACGCCAACATGAAATTTATCCTTTGAACTCCTACGCCATTTATTAACCTATTTTGACCATTGACGTCTCATTAGAAAGAGCGTGTCGCTTGAATTATCAAACTAACCTTAAATTTTTGAAAAAATTCCTTGGGTTCTGCCCCAATCGCTTTTAAAAATCCCATGTTATCCTTATGAAGAACATATTTGTTTACATTATGATCAGCTGGATAATTTAATTGCTGTTAATATTTAAGTTACAACTAGTGTACTTGTTGCTCGAATTCGAACAATTGCAAAGTATTACAGGATTTACAAACCGATAACAGTCATAATTTTCGATGAGTTAAAAGATTAAATTCAGAGATTATGTAACTAATGGAAATACTCACATTGTCCATACCGGTTCAATATTATCAATATGTCTTGTAAATATTTTATCATTTTTCAAAAACTGATCATATATTTTAGTGTGTTCTACAAATGTTTCCCTACTTACACATAACTGCATAAGGATGTCCATGTGTATCTACGTCATTGATCGCCTGCATGGTACCATAATTGTCGCCAGTATGTTACAAATTTCAGTAATTTTTTTAAACTATGATCAAATATTTTCACATTACTTAAGAACTACCTGATTTCCTGCATAGCCTGTCCATCACAATTTTATTTGAACAATTTTAAGTCTTTTGGTTGATTGTTCTAATAACATCATTATATTAACGTGAGAAAATGCAAAGTTAAAGGCCTGATGTATATGATTTTGCGTTTCCCTCAATTGTGAATAACAATTGAATCATTTAATGAAAGTTTTAGTAAAGGTTTCTTGAATATTGTCATATTCTTTGAAAATCACTTGACTTTTATGGAAACCAATTCGGCTAACGACCTCGTTCGTCAATTGTAGGAATCTTCATCTTGTAGGTGACTATAATACTTTGCAATTGCTCGAATTCGAGCAACATGTACACTAGTTTGGAAGTAATTCAGTAAGATTCATATATATTCGGATATATTTTGAGTATTTTTATGTAGATATAAACCGAATGTGTTGGAAAAACAATGTTTTAATAGTTTATTAGTCCTAACATAGTAACGCTGCAGAGGTTGATAACTAGTAACTTGAAGTTGAAATAGGAGGTTTTAGACCAAATTTTATGGTTTTATCTTTACAAAGTGAACATTAAATTGGAAATCAAAATAAAACTATTTTGTGAACTATTCTGTGAACAAAATCACAGCCATAATTAATTATTGAAAGAGATACTTTTGTCAAGCTGTTTTTGAACTTTAGTATTTCGGATTATCACGGCGCTGCTGTATAGATAAACTAGCTGTACCCGCGGGCTTTGCCCCGTTTAACTTCATATGTGAGCTCGTTCGCATGGCTCAACCACGTCCTGGTTTAAGTTCGTTCGCTAAGCTCACACATCCTGGTTGAAGTTAACACATCTTAAAATTTAAGTAAAAAAAACTTTGATTCCCTCTAGTTATAATGTAATCTTAAATTTACAATATATCTGAAGTGTTCAGCGAGAACATTGGAAAATATTTTAAAAGTCATAAACTTCATATATTTTTTTTTACAAAAAAACTTTTAGTCACCTGAAGTAATATATGTTAAGTGTTTACCAATTTACCTTGTACTCATTTAAATTTTATCATTGGCCAATATCCGATAAAGAAAAGTATTGCTTTATTACATTACATTAAATAACATTTTTTATTTGATATCTTGGTATATTTTAACCAGAAGTTTTGTAAGAAAACTAAAAACTAAACCCTTTTAAAATACATGATACATAAGCTAATCCTGCTACATAATACTTGGAAATGTAATACCCATCACTGTACTAAGCATACAATACAAAGTCATACAAAATTCCCTGTTTAAAACATACAATACAGTATAACACCTCATTTCCGACCCTAATGGGACCGAGGCAAGGTCGGATATCGGGAGGAGCATATCTTGCGGTCTCGGCGACACCGATAATCGTCTCCCATGATTATATCTTGCGGTCTCAACAACACTGGTAATCATCCCGCATGATCAAGGCAACAACCGTGAGCATTACCTTGCATTATCGACAAAACCGGTAATGGTCTCCCGTGATCACAGAAACCCGCAAGAATGTGTGGTTGTCTGGTGACACCGGTGTTTCTCTGCTGCGATTACGGAAACACGCGTGATCGGCCTTTCGGTTAATCAAACACCTCTCGATGCTAACACCATCAGGTAACAAGTAGACAGTCGGACACTGGGTCGGATATGAGGCTACTGTATACATAAAACACATATATACACAGAAAATAACAAACATGCCAACATAATATTTAATGGGCTGTATAAGTTCAATCCATACCGACTGTACACAGGAGTTTGGTTTAAGTGACAAAACATCCACACAAATATTTATACTTTATAGTGATTACCCAAAGTTCCCCAACAGGCTTCAACCCAACCCAAAAATATGGTAACCTCCCAAACAATCCTTAATAAATAAATTTAATTTCCTAAGGTCTTTGTAGTATTTGGTCTTATTTTGTTACAATATCCATTGAGCAACACTTTTAATTCCTTTTCTTAACCTTTTTCTCACCTCAACTGTCTAACAAGTCTTGTTTAGTGATCTGAAGAGAGTGAAGAGTAATATAAACAAACCAACAGGCGACAGCAGTAATAGTGCTGGTGGCTAGTGATGTGAGCCTTATCAACACAATACACCACAACTGTTCTATTATACTCGGTACTCTACTAATCAAACTAACTACTGTATCTATACTGGACCAATATTGGGTTTTTAAACTTGGTATTTCAAATATACTTCTCAACCTAGCATTCAAGCTGCATTCGTGTGCTACTGTCAACTGTTCATCTCCTTTCGTATTGTTGCAACTGTTGTTTCCATAATTGCTTCAGTTTCAAGGAAAGCAACTGTTTCAGTAAAAACTAAGATGTATCTCATCAGTTAAATTTTAAGAAATGATATTTAAATGCATATTAGGTTATAGAGCTTAATTTGGTTGCACAAAATGTATACCACAAAGAACATGTCTAGCTGACAACACAAGAAAAATACACATTTTGATCTCTTCATCTTTTGCTGTTCTAAGGGTACATGTAACATAAATTAAAAAAAAAAGTTCAACCTCTGAAAAACGGATGGAACATAGCTACTAAGGTTTAGAAACAAAGATGCAACACATTAATCCTATCTCTTAATCTCATTGTGGAAAAAACTAAAATTAATATTGTGTTCTTCACTGAGACTCTAAACAAATGAAAATCTCTAAAATCTCCAACCGAGAGTGAGTTACAGTCCGACAGCAGCACACTATAATGGACAAGTCAAACTTGTCATGATGAATTGGCCTCTAAATTGTCAGAATTCCTATAAATGTTACCTGAGCTGTCACAACGATCCATTGCTGTGATTCAACTATAGTTGTTTTGAGATGAGGAAAACAAAGCACACCTTCAGGTCAGAATCTCAAGGTTATTATGATTAAAATCAAAATCCCTCATGTGTGGTAAACGAAAAGTTATATACAGTTGAACCCTCATATCCGACCTCGGCATAACTGACTAGTCGGGATAGCTGACATAGTGTCCAACTGTCTACTTGTTACCTGATAGGCGATTGCACTGAGAGCGTTTAGATAACTGAAAGGCTGATTAAGGTTGTTGCAATAATCGAGTCAGACGAATGATCGAGGAAGACAATTACCGGTGCCGGCAAATTCACAATACAGTTAGAACCTTGATAACAAGACTCTCATGGGGATTATAAAATAAGACTTGTTATCAAGGTTGTCTTTTTATCAAGGTTTGCAATAACATGTGATTAGGGGTACAATAAATTTTAATGGATTTAAAAATGACACTTGTTATCAAGGGTAACTTTTTATTGAGGGTCTTGTTATCGCGGTTCCACTGTATATGCTCCAAGTGTTGCCGTGATCGTAGGAGGCGTAAACAATGTCATCAAGAAAAAGGATATCCTCACGGGTGTTGTCGTGATAACGGGAGAAGATTACCTGTGTTGCCGATATCGTAAGATATCCTCACAGATGTAGCTGTGATCGCGGGAAATGATTACTGTTGTCGCCGTTATCGCGAAAAATGCTCCTTCCGATATCCGACCTTTAAACCTTTCCGACCATTCTCTGGTCCTGTCATGGCTGGATAGGGGTTCTACCACCCTGTGGTTTTTTTTTTTTTAAATCATGCAATATAATGCTGCAAATAATTATGTTATCTTTGAGTATTCTCGTTATTATCTGTTGCTGAATAATTATCAATGTTCTATTTATATTTGTTATTTGCTATTTGTTATTGCTATTTATTTTTGTTTATATTTGTTGATTCAGTTATGTTTTTGTTACGTAATTTCTAATATTCTATTTATATTTGTTGCTACTGCATTGAATGTTATATTGTTATGGTTGTATTGCTTTGCATTTTAGAATTGTAAATTGTTATTTTTGAACCATTATGTGTAACTGTTATTGCTGATCTGTATATCAACAGTTTGTAAGTCAATATTCTATTTAGTATTAACATCTTTGGCTACCATCTTGATGTTCACAAATTTGTAAAATTGGTTTAACCGTGGGAAATAAATAAATAAATACTGTAATTTAAAACTTCTGACAAACTCCACCATGAGGAATTCAATAGCATAGACATTCTGACTTGAACACATGCTCCATTCCTTGTGGTCAAAACAGCTGTAGTATAATCACACTTCAACCGATCGTTCAACAGCCATAATTTTTTAAACAAGTCATACGATATTGAATCATCTACTGTTACCCATTATCGGAGACACCTACGACTCGTTTCTACCAAAGCAATGGCGTACACAAGCACTTCTATCAGCTAAAACATTGACTACTGTATATAGACATGCTCAGTGCCTGTGCCCTGGTGCAAAATGCTTCTAATTCCAAAACAGAATACCAACCCATTCCTGGTCGGAGACTGGTTGTGACCAGTTGAACCGTCCCCAATAATCTGTAATCAGATAAGGGACATAGGCAACTGCGCAAATTTGAAATCTTAGAAGATAAATAGAATTTACAGTCAGACTTTTAAGTCTGGAACCGTTTAACACATTAGTTCAGGGTAAGCCTAGAAGGCGCGGCATTATCACTTAGATGAAATCCAGTGGTGATTATTTTGGTAAACATTACTATAATTAAGTGAATTAACTTTGGCTTGATTTAAATTTGATTTTAATTCACAATTCTGGAAAAAGAGAAGTACCTTTGATAGCACATTGAAAACTTTAAAAAGCTCCCACATTTTGTTCTAACACCCTAAATACAATGGGTTTTACTATTTTGTAGACAAGACATTTTTTTATGTTACCAAGTTTTTTTTGCTATTCCAGGTTTAAGAACTTCAATTATATAAGATTACCTTTTTTTTTGTTGGCTATGTTCTCGAATAAGATGTTTGTGTAACCCTATGCATTTTTCCAGCTTGCGTAGCATCTTTTAAGGGTCTTCTTAAGCTATCTTTTTATCACTAAAACTATAGTCTCTTTATTTACAGATGTAACTGATATAGCAGTTGGATAAAGCGAACAAGAAGTGAAAAGGAGAAGAAATAAAATGGAGAAAGAATTACCTCCTGTTGTGACTCTACTCTTAAGCATATCTGTCGCCACGATGTTCGCTCAAAGTGACTACGATAACAGTGACGTGTAAATAAACAGACTATGGTGTTAGTGATAGAAAATAGCTTTAACAATCCCACACAAGCTGGCAAACTGCATAGAGAGACACAAACATCTTATTTAAGAACATAGGCAACAACAAAAAAAGTTGTCAGCTATGACCCCATTATTTTTAACTGGTGTACTACAATACTGAATATTTCCGCAATGACTTACGTCTCCCATGGTGTCATGAGGTTTAAATGCAGTGTGCCGGCCATACAGGTGGGGCAAGTAGTCTTCCCGTTCACTGAAATCAAGAGCAAACTTAACTAATCAACATAATAAATCCTCGCAGAAGTAGTAATATTAGTTGGCTTCAGTCACTTTAACTGCAACTGGATCATGCTCAAAACAACTAGGCTCCAAGGCTTGTATCCATCAGGCGCTCCCCTCAGAAAAAGATCTGGTTTGGTATTTATTTAGTTAAATTAAAATTACAAAAAAATACTTTAAAATACAGAAGTTAAGAGAGAGGATTTCTGAGAGCACAAACCTGGTAACACCGTAAGAAATAACATGCTGCGATCCAGTTGTAGTCATAGAGATCAATGGTAATTGAGGGAGAATGAGTGTAGGATTAGTGTGAAATTAACAAGATACACTTTTATCTTACATGTATACATACATCTACATCTTTATGTTTACATACACCATGGTTAAACACTTAAGACCATTAAACTTAAAGGGAGAAAAACTATGGATGATTACAAATAAATAACACATGTGTACATAATCTCTTTCCATATACTAGCTGTTGGAAATTGTTTGAATAAACAAATATAAAATCTAAAATCTAAAGTAACTCATTTGTGTCAAAGCAGACCATCCAATTCTTCATCGGTACGGCAGGGCTCAATGACTAAGATTATTAATCTAAGATGTACTAGTAAAAAAAGATAGTAAAAAATCCTATTTATGACATAGATGAATTTATGAAATGTGAGTTTTTGTTGCAGTTAAGATGGCCTTATTGTAGACAGATTAGATATTGTATTTTTTTGACATTTATTTATTTATCTATGTGTCTTTTGACGGAACAAATATTTGTTGCCTTGTTACTTGTTATTGCTAGTTAAGTTTGACAATGTCTATTACAATATGAGTATATTGTTGAAGGAATAAAGAATTTGTCTATTGTCTATTGTCTACTACTCACCCGACCCACACATCCACAAGATTGATTAATTGTCAATCCCCATTAAACTTCCAACAATTAAACCTCCCACAGTCCAAAAATGATTCATTTAAGTTGATTGCTTCCAAAGAAGGTTCTACTAGACGTCCCACCTATATGGACCAGCTGTAGCCAATTTTTTGTTAAAAATAACGTAGTTGTGTTTTAGAACATACATACCGTCTGTCAGTTACAGATTGATTGTTGTCGCGAACCTCCTTTTCATGCCTGGACTTCTCGGATACATACGAGTTTTCAAGCGATTCCAGAGAGGAAGAAACATCTGTAAAACATACGTGTGTTAGAAGCATAGGCCTAAACAAAAATCAACCCCAGATGAGCTTAAAACAGAAAACTGCTAAGAATTGTGATTCTTAAAAATCAGATGGGATTATTTAGTTACAAATAATCCATACACACATAATATACAAGGATTAAAACAATCTAATACACTCACCACGTTTTTCATCAAAGAAGCCTTCAAACAGGACAAAGTTGTTGTTCTGAGGGTATATCTTTGCTAACCCGTAGTGCTTGTTCAGGAAGGACAAGAACGTTTGAGATGGTTTGTCAATCGCTAGTTTACAAGGCACAGTGTCTTTATCCTGAAAAATAAAACAATTTAAATTTGCCTAAAAAAGGACATTCAGATAAATAAAACTGATTTGAAGATGATTCAATGGTTAATAACAATATTTCTTGAGAAACTAGGATTGTTCCTACTTTAACACACTCACTCTCGTTTATCTGAAGACTCTTCATACAGGGGAGTGTGACAGCTGGGACTGAACCTGTTAAAGGCTAATTCTTGATGTCTGGCCACAAAAAATGGCATTTGACCGATGATTGATAGATTTTTCTAACTTAACGATGAAATTAACGGTTTATCACAGACATATTTTCTGTGATATTAATAAGGGTCCAGTAGATGGAAACACGGCAACAACGCTGCACATTGTAGCAAGTCCAAACCCACAAGGAGCTATTTAGTGACCAAGAATTCTCTATAAAAACACAATCAATACTAACATTTTAAGTTGTAAAAGTACAATAGGTACCAATTTGTTTACAAAGTAAAGTAAGTTAGACAGTGTTATAACATACCTCCAACATATAGTCAAACATTATCTTTCCTAGTCCAGTCCTCTGCTTTGATTCATGGACATAGAAGTCAAGTACGCACAACGTCTCCTTCTCATGGACCATGCCAGTTGCGTCAAACAGGAACAAATGTTTCACTCCCATCTTCAGAATACCGACAACACTTCCGTTTCCACTGCAAATTACAAGTTTAAACTAAATATTTGGCCTTCACTAAATTATACCAAGCAGGATAAAAGATTCCTAAAGACCAGAGTGGATTTAGAAATCCCTACAGAGGCTAGTAAACTTCAGTTACTAACTTTGAAGTTGTATATGAAAATAATCCTCAAATACAAACTGATGTAAACATCTCAAACTTTAATGTCAGCTAAACATTACCCAAGAACAAAATTGGGTAATTATTTAGTAGCCTAAGTCTACATTGGGATAGGATGTAATTTTTAGATGTCTACTTACAGTTTTTTCACGCTGAATCCAAAAGCAATCAGTTTTTGTCGGAGAGATTCCTAAGAGGCCGTACAATTAAACAATTATAATATCAAGGTTCAGTTTCGTTGAGTTATTCAGATATTTGTGGTTTAGACGAGTCAAAGTTCTAGCGGAGACTAACACTGAAAGGGGAGGAAGGTTTGTGAGTGGAAACAGCTGTTCCGAGTCAATTTGCAAAAGTTAACGGACTTCTATGGCGTTCCGAAAATACAGTATCACAAAAACAATAACTTACATAAACTATTAATAACGTCAACATTAATCTTCTTCTTCTTATATATATAAAATCCAATGTATGCTTGTCTGTTTGTTTGTCCTTTATGTGTTACCAAACCGGCAAAGTTGTTGTATACACCCCCGGAAAGGTTTGTGTGAAGTTTGGTGCAGATCCGTCAAAAGGGCTTCGCCCTAGTGGCTCTGGGGTTTCCCATGTTAACCTTATGAGTACTTATATTTAAATGGAATTATAGAATCTTAACAGCTGGTTCAACGAAACAATTTAATTCTGTGATGTTCAATTGCATTAAAAAGATAATAGGTGTACCAGCAGGGTGCAGCACTATTATTTTTTTAAATATACGACAACAGCTAATTTGCAACCAAAATGTGAGTGAGCATAGCGAACGAACTTCAACCTGGAGGCGAGTTAGCGTAGCGAACAAGCTAAACCTGAAGGCAAGTGAGAGCAGCGAACGAGCTCCAACCTAAAGGTGAGCAAGTGTAGCAAACGAACTTCAACCAGGACGTGATTAGGCGATGCAAATGAGCTCATCTTGAAAACAAACAAACATTTGACATAAAACCACATTAGGACATGATAACGTCTGTCGGGCCAGCTAGTAGTCATCAGTAAATGTAGCCTACGTAATTTATTCTCATAAAATACAAGGAGTAGAGTCTATGTCTCTACAATAAGATGAGCGCATCACCAATACCAAATTGATACTGTCACTGTATTGCTGTAATCTGTTTGCTAAGAAGACATATAAAAATTACATCATATCCCAGTGTAGACATACTAAATAGTTGCCGGTAATTTATTCATGGTAAAAAATAAAATAGGGGCTTTAAAAATAGTGTAGACCTACATATGATTGGCTTGAAATGGACCATAGGAATAGTTATAGGCCTACCTTTAAAACTGAGGACCGGATAGTAGATTTAAATTACTGCCTAATTTAACCTACTGTACCTTGTATGGATAGATTTTGAAGAAGTTTCTATTTAAAATATTATTACAGTAGAGTCCAGCAAACTCGGCGTAATGTACTTGGCGTAATGGAGGGGTGCCAAGTTTGTGAAATGCCGGGTTATTGGGAACTAGAGTTAAAAATGAGAACAATACAGTTATTAAGCTTTTTAAACACCTTTTTTAATTAGAATTATATTACAAGTCAGTATTAAGTCATCAGATATAGTACAACAAATCCTTAGTATGAGTTGCAAATGATTATACTTGAGCTGGCTTGTGTCCATGTTTAACTCGGACTCAAATCACAAATTTTCTGAGCCAGATGATGGCCGAGTTATCCAGACTGCTAGGTTATCCAGTGCCGAGTTTGCAGGACTATACCGTATATATAATATTGAGGAGAGGAGGTAGTCAAGTTTAAACTGCTGTATTTCATTTAGAAACATTTACAGTTAATTAACACAAACAGTTAATTAACTTAAAGCTAAGTTAGGCCTAGATGTCACCACTGTCTTTACATAGGATCTGACACATTGTCAAGTTATTAGGACTATTCCAAATCTTTTACCTTTGTTTGGCAAGAGAATATCGAAAGATAACACTAGGCTAATACAGCGTAGGCTACTTACTGGTTTTCCCTAGGGTCAATCATGATATAGAGAGTGTGATCGCAGTTTCTTGATTTCTCTGCACTGGTGATAGGATGGTGTAGGCCTTGTGCTTTGGCTGAGGCCAGTCCCATGGAGTCTACTATATCCGCCACTTGGCTTGCTACATGTCTGATAAAGGTCAGAAATTATAAGTCGCTAAGTAAGACTGTACAATGATTCAAATAATTGTAAAGGTAAGCAAAAAAGTGTTTCACCTTTCATGAATGGGGGTCAATAAATTAGGCATATTACTTAGGGGCTATTTTTAAACCTTTGCGGTCTATAGGCCACTTAAAAGTGCCCACTGTCCGTTTCAAGCTAGATATGGCATCAAATTTACCCTGTTGTATTCAGAGATACACTAGGCCACTTATAGTGCCCACTGTTGTTCTGGCGTCAGGTGTGATGCCATATTGAACAGCTGTCCTCAGTAAGTATAGGCTAGCTATTTCTGGAAACTTGTTTGCTGAAGTGAAGTGAACATATAGCCTAAAACTTGTAATTTTACCTATAAATTTTAAGTATAATAGAGATGGAATAGGGCCTAAAAATTTCAGTTTATTACGTTTAAAATAAAATGTAGGCTATGTTTCTACTACTATAAAAGTTTGAAACACAAATAAAAAAGTACTTGATATAAAATCCCAAAACATCATCCAGTAAATCCCTTTTATTGTCAGAATTCATATTTAAATTATTAATTAGGTAACTTCACAACTCACATAAAAATCAAACTAAACATACAATATCCTAACTGCACGAAAATGAAAATAGGTAGGTATAGGCCTATATCCTAATATAGTATAAGTTGGGCCCAATGAGAACCACTGCTTGTTGACTGTGATTTCTAAACAGACGGCTAGACACTAGCTTTAATGGCGCATTTGTAATATGGTTAAATAGGCTAAACGTTGAACAGAGTGCAGCACCTTCAAGGGAGCTAGACACAATTACAGTTTTTAAAAGACAAAATTCATAACTTGGGCACTAAGTTATGAGTGGCCTAGAGACCGTTTGAGCATATCGCTAGTGGGCACACTGAGTGGCCTAACGTATCTGAGGGACAGACGCGGGGCGTAACTGCGTCTGTCCATACTTGGCGTGTAACCATACTTGACTGAGGAATGATTCTGGGCACCAAGTTATGAGTGGCCTAAGATAGGCTACCTAAAAGAACATTAGGGAGACACCATTAGGACAGACCGCAAAGGGTTAAACCTAACCTTGAATTGACGTTCAAATGTGCACAACCTACTCAAGATTCACATGATTGCATCATCAAAAGATTCATTTGTCTCTGTAGTTACCACATTACTAAGTAACTTAAACTGGACTCATATGTTTATCATTGTGCTGTTCTAATGGTCCTGGCCAAAGAAACAGCTGGATTTAGCCAGTTACAAAGCTACACCGATCGTCCCAACTCCATTCTACACTCATTGTGCAATCTAGATCTCATTGTAGGCTAGATATTCAGCTAAAGATAGCACCATAGAATGTGTCACTGTCTTAAAGAATTGAGTTTATTCGGCATGTTATTTTAAAGTACCGTAGGTAAGTTTACAATTTAGATGGAATCATTCAATGTCTGTGTAAACTTAAGCCAAGGTAGGCCAACTGAACTTAGGCCTAAGTTACAGTGGGTATTTCATCAACCAGTAGGTTTAACTTAACCCTAGATCTGGCGCTGGTTGATAATCAACCACTAAAACGTGAGTCCTCAGTGGCGTTAGTCGATTATCGACCAAGACGACATGGTTCAGGGTTTTCTATAATCAATTAACTTATGAAAACCATTTTAAATCGCAATAAATCTTATAGGCTACCATTAGAAATATGAGATTCTGAGGATTCATTTTCATGTATAAAAAAATTTTCAGCGAGTATTAGCCTATGTAGCGAGAGAAATTGGCTAGTTTGAAAAACTAGAGAGTTCAAAACAGATTTTGGCAGTGGAAAGTTTTGATCACCTGACTACAAAAACAGCTAGGCCTTGGCCTATAGGCCTTTAACTTATATGTGTGTAGGACTAGGCCTATATTCACAAACAACTGTTCTGTGGCGAAATATATGAAACCACTAGCCTACAAAGGGCCAAAATATAAAATGACCTATGGCAAGATGATTGACCTAGAATAGGAAAGTTTAAAACATAACTTAATGCTAATATGAGATTGAGACTTACGATGCTCTTTTTCTGTCACCGTTGAAATCCGCTGGTAGCAGAGTGTTACATACTTTGGAAATATAATTTTGGAAGATTTCATTTAAGTTGTAATTGAATTCCATATTTAAGGCACTATTTCAACAAAGAATACAAAAAAATTGATTTTAAAAGTTTACAGAAACGTTCTACAACCAACAAGATTAATTTGATAGATTTAGTTTAGATTACAACGACAACCTCAGTCCAGTGTAGACAGAAACTCAAACTAAACTACTACAACCTACAACTTCCTGAAGTTTTAATGACGTATTACGATATTATGTTCAAAAAAGGACTTGCGACTGAAACTAGAATTATTGCAACAACGAACAACGTAACGTAACCTAGAGAATCTTAAATCGACAATCGAGAATCGACCAGCAGCAGGAAGAATATTCCGGAAATGGGCTTGTGGGCTGTAGCTGTCAAGGTACATTTCACACATGGTTTTTGACATTTGCATAAAATTACCTATTATGAGTCATAGACGTTTGAATAGAAAGTAAAAGTTCTACTCCATATACATCATTACTGCATAAAATAAAATATAAACATAGATAAAACCAAAACATACTCCCAAACTATAGCCACGGCCGCCTATAGCCCAACGCGCCCAAGCGTATCAATTCAATTCAATCAATTATCAATTATTTAAGATGGGGACGCCACTAAATGAATCAAACAAGCCTTAACCCTTTTGATAGGAGTAATTATGTCAGATTTATGCTGCCACCAAAATCCCCCTCTTTTTGTGGGACATTTAAAAATTTAAAAATCATAAAATTAAACTTCTTGCTAAGATTTCATGACCACCAAAAGGATATGATATCTCTGTTTATTGGGAACGTGCTAACGTGCACTGGGAAAGGTCCATACAACCTTTACAACAAGATTAGACACGTGTCCTCCAGTTACCCTAAACAACGTTCAAATCCCACAGTGCAATGAGGTTAAATACTTGGGCTTGCCCCTAGAAGACTCACTTGGAAAAGCCACATCTGGAACAAGAGGATTTCGTTAAATTTAAAATTTAAAAATCTTTCTTGGCTATTAAATCCAAATTCTAAATTAACAACAGAAAATAAATTACTTTTATATAAAACTATTTTACAACCAGTATGGACGTATGGTATCCAACTGTGGGGGACATCCAGTGAATCAAATCTGAACATCATCCAAAGATTCCAATCCAAGGTTCTAAGGCACATTCTCCAGGCAATTTGGTTCGTTAACAACGAAGTGCTCCATAGAGACAGTCGGAGTCGAACCCCAACGGTCAAAGAAGAAATTTCAAGGTTAAGTGCAAAATACTTAAAGAAATTAGAGTACCATCCCAACTACCTTGCTTTGAATTTGTTGGACAACAGCAACTGTATAGATTGAAAAGATGCCATGTTTTGGACCTGAGTAGTCGTGTTTAGAGATTTATGGACTTTAAACTTCGTACCAATATGCAAAGTTTGTGTGTTAGCTTTATTGTTGGATATAAAGACTAACTACTGTGTTTAAATTTTATCATATTTGCTTATTGTTCTATTTTTGTTGAACAGATTGTAAATTAAATAAAACTAGTAAAAATTGAATACTTGTGTCAGGCAATATTACAGTAATCATAAATTTTGTTTCTTTAACTGAGAATGCTCTATCCGATAACTATAATAGCGAGCTGTGTTAGCGCTAAAACAGCAATGCGAGAGTTGGCGCAGAACACGTTGGAAATTTTAGTTTGAAAAGTACGAACTGTACTCTGTACCATAGATAAAACAGGTTAGTCTATGTCTGTACTACCGTACTGGATTTTTTTGCTCTTGAATTACTCATGAATTTTTTTTTGTTGGCCTGGTGGACACCCTGTCTGGATATACCGGCTTTCTCGGTATGGTGGTAGATGCACTTTTCCTTTATGACAGCAGGATGAAAATCCTTTGCCTCGTCCTCTTTTTTTCTTTAAAATTTAGCGCACCACATTTCTGACATTTTAATGCCATCTCGCCAAGCGAATGCTGCTGAATTCTTGTATTAGTCAGTACAATTTTGTAAGTACACGTTACCACTAACTGTTCCAGCTCCTCGTCTGGGCTCCTTACGTTTTGCATTGATTGCCGTATGTTGACTCGCCGTGTCCGACCGGCAATATTTCTTTTCCGTCGGGTCCTTGGCATGTATAATAGAAACTATAATATAAAAAAATTCTCCCGTCGTGTCCTATAGGTAAAATTTCTTTTCCTACAGTCACCCAACAAAGTTTGTCATCGTCACTATACTGTACGTGATTCAATCCCTTTGATATCACGGACGATTAATATCAAACATTAGAAATGACAAAACAAATTTTAACAAAAACTAGCTATCTTCTTTATTGTATTCAACAAAACAACATACTAAACTATTTTCTTTTTACAAAACAATTGAAAAACATATGACTGTTTATATATTAATTATTAAACAGTCTTTTGGCAAACTTATATGAAATATATTGAGGGGTTTTCTTTATCAATGGTTAATCATCGTACGTCAATCATCCCCCCCCAAAACCCTCAATATATATTTTGAAAATTTTAAAACTAGTTGTTAAATCTGGTTCTAGATTCATTTCTGCACTTGAACCTCTTTTTCTTGGAATATGTGGTGTTTTTCTTTTTAAGTGTCTTTCTCTTAGAAGGTCTTCCTTTCTTTCTCCGTCGCTCTTCATTACTTCCTTCTTCACTTGCAGATTCCACATATTTTCCACCATCCTTTTTCCTTACTCTTCCACTACCTTCACCATAACTCTCAGACTGGTTGACCTGCTGCAACTTCTGACAATTTCTCAGTTTTAAGTAAAGGTATTCTCTCTTTTTGGTCTTCCTTTCCCTTTCCACCTTTTGTTGGTACTGTAACAGACAATGTTGCCTGTTGCAGTGTTTAGGGACCATCTTGTCCCACTGCCTGAGCTTCAGTTCTTGCTTCTTCCCTCTCATCGTATCCTTGGCCTCCTCGAAGTATTCACACGACGTAACATTGAGTGCAGGTAGTATCTCGGTGTCCTTTGCAGTTGACGTGACCCCAGGAGAATCGGTCCAATGCAAGATCCCATCCTCATCTCCCGAGATGGCTGATGAGTCCTCGACCATCACTGTCCGTCGCAGGATCTCTTCTGCACCTCCTTTGATGACCGATAAGTCCTCGACCCTCTCTGTTGGTCGCAGGATCTCTTTTCCATCTCCTAAGATGGCTGATGAGTCTCCGAGCATCTCTGTCCGTAGCAGGATCTCCTCTGCACCTCCTATGATAACCGATGAGTCCTCGATCCTCTCTGTCTGTCGCAGGATCTCTTCTGCACCTCCTACGATGACCGATGAGTCCTCGACCATCTCTGTCCGTTGCAGGATCTCTTCTGCAACTCCTGTGATGACAGATGAGTACTCGACCCTCTCTGTTGGTCGCAGGATCTCTTTTCCATCTTCCAAGATGGCTAATGATTCCTTGACGATCACTGTTTGTCGAAAGATCTCTTCTCTATCTCCCAAGATAGCTGATGAGTCCTGGACCATCTCTGTACTATTCAGGATATTATCTGTATCTCCCGAGAAGGCCAATGAGTCATCAAACGTCTCTGTCTGACGTAGGATCTCTATACCTCCCAGGATGGACGATGAGTCCTCAAACGTCTCTGTCTGACGTAGGATCTCTATACCTCCCGGGATGGACGATGAGTCCTCAAACGTCTCTGTCTGACGTAGGATCTCTATACCTCCCAGGATGGCCGATGAGTCCTTTGCTAACTCCAAGATATTTTCCCGGTTGTTGAATTTGATTTCATTGTATTTAATTTCGATGTCCGATTTATCTGTTTCATAGGTGTTAGTAATAATTTTAGTTTCTAATTTTGATTGGTTTTGGTTTTCCGAAATCTTTTTAATGGAGGATGAAATTACATTTTTGATGCCTGCCAAATGAGTATCCAATTGTTTTGATCGAGTATCTAACTGTGCCGAAATCTTTACTAGTAACATACTCACCGGGTCTGCTGGTGGTTCTCCTAATTTTGTCATTTCTAAATTAAAAGTCCTGTCACGGTCGCCAATTTATGTCGTCACTATACTGTACGTGATTCAATTCCTTTGATATCACGGACGATTAATATCAAACATTAGAAATGACAAAATAAATTTTAACAACAACTAGGTATCTTCTTTATTGTATTCAACAAAACAACATACTAAACTATTTTCTTTTTACAAAACAATTGAAAAACATATGACTGTTTATATATTAATTATTAAACAGCCTTTTGGCAAACTTATATGAAATATATTGAGGGGTTTTCTTTATCAATGGTTAATCATCGTACGTCAAGTTGGCTTCCTTGTACTGTTTATAGTACAGAAAGCTGCTAATTGCTGCACATTTATACTTTGCCGTACGGTTTATACTTTGCCGTACGGTTTATACTTTGCCGCACATCAGGATTCCAACGAAACAACACAAAACAGCGTGGTTCTATTATGCACGTAATCCGAGTACGCTTGGAAATAGGTTGGCAACACTTAAAGATAATAATACTATGAGCAGCTGATTGACTATTATAACTACGATTTAACCTGTCATTTCGTGTTTATAGTTTCGGTATTTCTGAACTTTCTGGACTTTTCTTTTAAACGTTTTTAAAACATTCCTACGATCTTAATAAACAAGAAAATACCTTTATAGCATTTTTTTTAGGCGCGGAAACCACTTCAAATTACAAAAACATACGGAACTATATTCTCAAAACGCGGAGCACATTTCTTGACGAGGAAAAATAGCGGAGTGATATGGACCGCGGGTACTACTTTCTCTAGAGCACCATTTGAGTTGCCACTTGCCAGCTGAACCTAAAAACGTGTTGTATAGTGTTTGAAAGACTAATTATTCATATGCTTTATAGTGACTGTAGGAAAAATATAATGTGTAACACGAGTGAAAAAGGCCTTTGCTGCACTCGAGATCATTCCGCACTCGCCTGCGGCTCATGCGTAAACATTGCTCTCGTGTGCAGCAAAGTGCCACTTTCACCACTAGTTACACAAATAACTATTTCAGGGTTTATAATTATTTTTAAAAACATGCAAACTGTTTACATTTCAAAACCAAACATAACAGCTGGGATTTATTTTTCTTTAAACTAATTTATTGACATCTGTTTCAGAATATAATAACATTCAAATCAGTCACAATGTTATCCTTATGAAAGGAACTTTGAGGACAGGCCATGCCCTTAAAAAGATATATTTCGTAAATCTAAAGCTTGTTTGCACATCTACACACATAGACGAACATTTTGGTATATAATATGTGGGGTTAAATCTTAAAACAAAAAAGCCTTATTGTTCACAAAGTTTCATGTCGCGTATTAAATATATAGATAGATGTTAAACAAAAAATCATTTCA